ACATCCCAAGCCTGGTCGGTCATATAATTATAATAGCAGGATAAACCAAAGGTTAATGGAAAATGGAGAATAGGAAACCAAATGAGATGGGATATAAAGAGAAATATAAGAGAAAGAAAAATAAGAAAAGGGACAAGTGGTGTAACGGGGTCGTACTCTCACAGTAGGTGCGAGGGGTCGGGATGTCGAAAGCGTCTGGGTCAGCCTCAGAGACTAGGAGCATGGAGCAGAGATGGGGAGCAGCCTCAGATAGGAAAGCAAGCTCGTACTGCCGGTCCTCCAAGACGTCACTGCCGAGAGCAGGAGCACCCCCGACGGACAGAGGACAGGAAGGGTCAGAGATCAGAGCAATGGCGTAGTCAAGGCGACGGGTAGAGGCGAAGTCAGCGATAGCAGCGACAAGAGCGTTAAGACGCGAAGCAGGAACAGATGGGTCGGTAACGAGAGAGGCAAGGACCCGAGAAACAAGAGGACGAGCACCATGAAGGTAGTCAGACAAAGGGGGAGGCGCGACAAGTGAGGATGGAGGAGGCGACGGCAGGAGGGGAGGACAAGACACGTGGGAACGAAGCAACATAGGGTGAGAGCGGCGAACAAGAGAGACAGAACGAGCACGAGAGGGACGGCGAGACCAGACGTGAGACGGGGGCGTCTTGTCAGGAGACAGAGGAGGGGACACAAGAGGGGAATGAGGGAGAAGACGAGCCGGAGACGAGTCCAGAGGAGGGAACACAGGGCCGTAGACAGGTAGATGAGGAGATGGTAAGAGAGGCGCAGATGCGCGGTCAGGGGAGGGAAGGCTGAGCAGGCGAAGGGCGGACAACGGCGGTGACTGCTGCTGCTACGGCTGAATGAAGCCGATACCTGGACCGCGAGCTGCTCCACGGCTGCCTCCGGATTACTGCACTCAAGCACCCCCAGAAGGAACACCCCCAAAACCAGGAACTCTCTCACAACTGGCACCACCCCTAGTCTCGCCGGGACAAGCCACGACAGGAACCCCAGGACTATCACACTCCTCAACGCCAGCACCCCTAGAGGGCACAAACTGCTGCTGCTGCGGCTGCGACGACGGCTGCGGCTGGGGTGGCTGCCACGACGGCTGCGGCTGCGACTGCAACGGTGGAGGAGGAGACACTTGGGAGAGGGCACGAGGCGAGGACTGCACCACAGGGCCACTAGAGTCAGCAGACTACTCAACAGGGACAACCGACGGGAGGGGGGTGACGTGAGACACACCACACGGGGTAGGACGGGGTGGGGGGGGAGCAGGGGCGACCGGGGGAGGGGGAACCAGGATTGGGGGGGGAGTAACCGGGGGACCATGGTGGGGAAAGCGGTGGTAGAAGGAGACGGACTCGTCAAAGGTGACGTCGCGATAGTGAATGAAACGGTGGGACGGGGGGTGGTAGAAGTGCCAGTCAGACGAGTCAAGGGGAAAACCTAGGAAGACACAGGGGACGATTCGGGCAGTGAGCTTGTCCGTGCCGGAGGCATGAACGTGAGCAAGGCAGCCCAAGACATGGAACGCAGATGCGTCATCAGGAGACCCGGTCCAGAGGAGAGTCGGCGAAACCTGCAGCCGATGAGGGTGCGGCCACAGGTTAAGCTAGTGAGCGGCGTAGCGAACGGCGAACGACCACAGAAAATGGGGTGCACCGGCATGGATCATGGAGGTACGAGCCACCTCCATGACCAAACCGATGCGTCGCTCAGCGACCCCATTCTGCTGCGGGAAGTCCGGCAGGGTGTACGTCTGGGTGATGCCCTCCGCACGACAGAAGCGACCGAGGCAGCCAGAGGCGAACTCGCCACCACGGTCGGAGTGAAGACGCAACACTGGGAGACCTCGGTGCACACGCGCAGAGACAAGCCATGGGATAAGAATGCCAGGCTCGTCGACCTTTCGCTCCAGGGAAAACACGGTGGTGTAACGAGTGTGGTCATCAACGAGGACGAGGAAGTAACGCTCACGACGTGGCCCATGGACGAGGGCAGAGACCCAGACGTCCATGTGCAAGGTATGCAACTGTGTAGTGGTGGGGGGGAACGAGGAGGAGTGAGGGGCAAGGCAGAGTCGGCCCTCGACGTAATGGGTGCACGGCGGCGCGGGTGAGGAGGGGAGCGCGGGGAATGACTCACGGAGACCTAAAACAAGACCGTGCTGAGACATGTGAGGAAGACGAGGGAGGGTAGGGTGACCTAGACGGTGGTGCCATAGTAGCGTCGGGTGAGTAAGCGACCGACACGAGCAAGCCGCAACAATCTGGGTAGACGTAGACACCTGGGGAGACGTCCCAAACGGGGGGGACGCGGTGTCCAGCGTGAATAGGCCAGACACCGCGTCCCGGGGGAACGTGGTGAGGGGAGCACCACTGGCAGCCTCGGTACAGACAGCGTACCGCTCGTGACCAGGGAACGTAATGGTGATGCGAAGGTCTTGGAGGCAGCCGACACCAACTAGGTTCCTAGAGAACGAGGGGATGTGCATGCCTGTAAGAGAGCCCAAAGGAACCGCCGGACAGGGAAGGGTAGAGGAGCTACGGGCGACTACAGGGCCTGGGTCTGCAAGGGAAACTGCGGCGGGAGAGGCAAGCGGCGTGAGGGTAGTGGAGTCCCGAAAGAAGCGCTGGGAAGCGCCGGAGTCAAGGGTGAAGGAGAGCGCGCCAGTGGCGGCAGGAGCCGAAGAAGCGAGGGAGGAGCCTAGGCTAAACAAAACAGGGGATCCTACGCCTGACGCAGCAAGGGAGAATGAGCTAGGCACACCTATACTAAGCAACAAGGGGTAAGAGGAACCCGTCACAGTACAGTCATCGACATACAGCACATACAAAGTTGAACTAATCTTGTCCATGTCCATATCAAAGATCTTAACACCACGGCAAAGCAAACTGAGCCAGTCGGGGAGGTCGGGCGATGGGCCGAAGCGGAGACAAAACAGGTCGTCCAGGCGACTGAAACAACGGGTGGGGGTGTGACCGATCTTACCGCACACGAGGCCGTGGCGAGGACCGGTCTAGAGCTGGTACTGGCAGCGCCCGTCACTCGAAGCACCACCCGAGGTCACACTGCGTGCACGACCACTGCGACCGCCGCCACCACCAGCGCCAGGCCACCCGGGCTGGAGACGACCAACCCGCCGCTGCTGCTGCTGCTGCGGCGGCTGCTTCTGCTGCTGCTGGTCCAACGGTGGCACCTGCTGCTACAGTTGGGACGACTGCTCAGCAGCACCAGCCCCAGCCCCCTCGTCAGCACTACTAGCGGGCGACCCGGCTCCACCACCTCCTCCATCCCCGCATCCGCTACCACCGCCGCGACCAGCCTTGGGGCGGCGACCCTTCCCCGGACGGAACTGAGTTGCGGCGGCTGTCTCAGCCCCAGCAGCAGAGCCGTCAGAGAAAGTGCACTGAGCGGGTGCATAGCCCTGAAAGATAGTGACCGGCACAGTACCGCTAGACTGGGCGATAGAGCGCTGGCGGGTCTCTATGGCAGACAGGGTGTGGACAAAGTCAGTGAGGGTGAGGTCAGCGGGGTGAGGACTTAGAAAGTGATCGTGGGCACTAGCAAGGCGGTCAGAGAGGCGGGTGGCAAGCAGGTAGAGGGTAGCAAAGATGGGGGGTTAGAACACGCGAAGCTGGGCCTCAGTGCAGGCAGCGCGCCAGGTCGAGTCTCGCGTGCGCAAGTGGGCGGCTAGGTCAGCGACACTGGGAATAGACGCGAGATCAGGAAAAAATCGAGGGAGGATCAGGCGATCGACGGAGGCAGAGGGCGGGGTGGAATAGCGCGCAACAACAGCCTCTAGGAACTCCTGCGCGGTGCTGACCGACCTAAAGCGGGGACGCTCAGACAGGGAGAGGGCATAACTGATTGCGAGCTGTGCGACAGCGTTTCGTGACAACCAGACTGCACGGGCAAGGGCAGCAGCGGCAGCGGACTCACAGTCAGCAGACGTGGGGTCAGTGGGCAGAGCAGCAGGGGGGTCAGGGCAGGGGAGCGTACTGTCGATGTGGACGGCCAAGAAGTGGCCGTCCTGCCGCTGACCAGTGAGCTGTCGGCGGAGATCGACGAGCCACGTCTCGAACTCGACCGGCTGACCCTCCGCGTCAAAGCGCAACACCGAGTCCGCCATCAGGGTCAGTGCAGCAGCAGAGAGGCGGTAGGCGGGAAGCAGTGGGGTGCAGTGCAGTGCAGCGCGGTGCGGGAGACTGCAGTGGGGGGGGAGGTGCAGTATGGCAAGGCGGTGCAGGGCGGTGCAGTGCGATGCAGGGCGGTGCAAGGCGGTGCAGCGCGGTGGTGTGTGGTTTAGCGCGTTGCAGGAGCCGCAGGGGCCGGCTGTGCGACAGGGCTAGCTGGGCGACGGGGCCGGCGTGGCGACAGGGTCGGCTGGGCGACGGGGCCGGGCGGGCGACGGGGCCGGCTGTGCGGAACGGGCAAGCGCCGGCCGGCTACGGGACGGCTACGGGCCGGGTTACGGACGGGCCGGCTACGAGCAAAGGCGCGGGACGGGCCGGCGAGGGGCGCGGGACGGGCCGGGCTATGGGACGGGGCCGGCGATTGGCGCGGGCACGGGACGGGCCGGGCTACAGGTTGGGCCGGCTACGGGCGCGGGACGGCCGGCTAGGGGTGCGGGCGCGAGACGGGCCAGGCTACAGGAAGGGGCTGGCTACGGGCGTGGGCGCGGGACGGGTCGGGCTACGGGATGGGCCGGCTACGGGCGCGGGACGGGTCGGGCTACAGGACAGGCACGGGCGCGGGACGGGCCGGCTACGGGCGCGGGCGTGGGATGAGCCGGCGCGGGTGGGCGGGCGGCTACGACCTATGGCGGAAGTGCTCGTGGGTGGGTGGGACCTAACCTACTCATGATACCATGTTCGAATGATAGAATGACTAGAATAGGTGAGTACAAGGGATTATAGCCCTGTAGGTTGTACTCTCTAAGGCATAACCCTATATAGTTTACAACAACATACTCATATATGTTTGACAAGTATATATAGCATTATACTTTTGTTTACAATAACTGCATATTTTCACTCTGAGAATACTGCAAACACTGATGGAAATTAGCACCACGCACAAGCACATACAATCCCTTTCTAAAGACCTTGCATTACAATCCCTTTCTACTTCGGCAGACATTGGCGCTTTATTTCACAGCTCCCAAAGATAGGAACTACCTTGCGAGTTTAGTCACCTCACCAGGTATATGTGAGGGAGGAAGTAGCACCTGCCCTGAATGCCACCTGCACAGCCGCCCTCCCATCATCAGGCGTGTATACAACCTCTGCCTCCTCCCCATTCACTGTACACCTTACAGGCTGCCTCGATGCATACAGTACAAATGTGCCTCCTCCCCTCACTTCCGCCTCCACAGTTGCTTCTGCCGCTCCTGCTCCTGTTTCTCGTGCTTCTGCCTCTCTTGCTTCCTCCTCTCTTGCTTCTGCCTCTTTAGCTTTTGCCTCTCCTGCTTCTGTTGCTGATGCTGCTCGTGCCTCTCCCATGTCGGCATCGGATGAAGCTGCAACCCCTGCACTGGAGTGGGCACCACAAGCACCTGCATCCCCTGCACCAGAGGTGCTCGTCCTCACACTCAGCACAGCGCCCCCCGAGTTGTACATGTTGGTCAGACCTATGGCCGCCACCGCCACACTCCCCACAACCTGATGGGAGTGATGGGGGTGGGGCAAACGAATGAGCACAGAAGCACCCTCTGAGTTGGTCAGGCCTATGACTGCCACTGCCACACTCCCCACAACCTGATGGGAGTGATGCGGGTGGGGCAAACGAATGAGCTCGGAAGCACCCCCCGAGTTGGGAGGCCCATGGCCGCCACTGACATGCTGCGCACATGGAACCGAAGAGAGAAGAGAGGGGCAGAGGCTGAGGGGGAGACAGCCATGGTGGAGAACAAGGTGGCATGGGCAAGGCAGCCATCACAGCATTCCCGTGGTTGCCCTTGCGCCCTGAGGAAGCAACAGCCCAACAGGGGGGAATAGGAGGAGCTCTGGGTGATCAGGGGGGTATGGAAGAGGCTAAGGGGTATTAGGAAGGAATAAGAGAACATAAGAGATACAGTGATAGCAATGAGCATACGTTGATAGCAAAGAGCATACATCGATAGTATACAGCATACAGTGATGGCAAAGAGCTCACAGCGACAGTAAAGAGGATAGTGATTGTAACAAGCATACAGCGATAGTAACAAGCATACAGTGATAGTAACAAGCATACATCGATAATAAAGAGCATAGCGATAGTAACGAGCATGCAGTGATAGTAAAGAGCGTACAGTGATGGGTGCGATGGTGTAGAGCTCAAACTCCAGGCGGTGGAGGTGCACCACCAGGGATGTGGCTGCTGGCAGGCATACCAGCTCGTCTGTAGGGTTAGGGGTTCGGGTCCGGGGATTAGTCAGAGAGGTGCACGGCAAGCAGGGGATGGCTGCATGGCAAGCAGGGGATGGCTGCATGGCGTGACAGCTGCCATACCAGGTGTGTATCAGGTGGCCATCGTCTCTCACTGCAGCATCCACTCCCCTTGCACTCGGTCCCCCTCACGCCCCTTCCTCTTACTCCCCCCCAGTCCCCCTCAGTCTCCCTCCCCTCCCTCATCTGCCCTCTCACCTGCATTGTGCAAAAACACTGCCACATCCCCGCTCCACTCCCTGGCCGCCACATCAGCAAGCAGGTCCACGTCAGCAGCAGCAACGCTGCCGGTGACGGCGTCGGGGTCGGGGTTGTGCATGGTGTACTTGCGGCCATCGCGGCACCACCCCGCACCCTGGCAGTTGAACGCGCCTACCATGCCACTGCATGCATTCATCGTCCATATCTTAAGCATGCTGGGGGGGGAAGGGAGGGGGGGGGTTGGGGAAGGGGGGGTGGGGTGGGAAGATGTGATGGGGTTGTGTTGGGGACAAGAGCAGCTGAACGCGCCTACCATGCCACCGCACGCATTCATCGTCCATATCTTGAGCATGCTGCATGGGGGTGGGGGGCAGAGGGTTTCTGGGGTTGTGTTGGGGAAAGCGTAGCTGTGGTGGGAGGGGGGAGTGGGGGATGGGGATTTTCCGGAATTCTCGAAGACCATCTGAGGTACCTCATTCAGTCCTCATTCAGTCATAGGCTAGCACCCACCTCGGGAGGTCTTTGGCAGGGCCCACAAAGCGTCAGTCCCTCGTGGGTTCCTTTGTAATCTGACCCGGCCCAAACTCATGGCTACCACCCACCTCGTGTGCCCCTAGCGGGATTTCTCAGGGATCACCTGAGGCGCCTCATTCAATCAATGGCTACCACCCACCTCGTGTGCCCCTAGGGGGATTTCTCAGGATTCTGAAACATCACCTGAGGCGCCTCATTCAATCAATGGTTACCACCCACCTCGTGTGGTCCCTGGCGGAGTCAACATAGACGCGGCCCTTGGTGGGTGTCTCTCTAATCTGAGGCGCCCCATTCATTCATCAGCAGCCACCCACCTTTTGTGGTCCCTGGCGGGGTCCACGAAGAGGCAGTCCTTGGTGGGCCGCCCTGGCAGCTTGGCGCGCAGCACAGAGCCGTCTGGCAGCACCAGTTTCCTCAGCACGCTGAAGTCGTGCTGCCCTGGCTTGTCGCTGGTTGAGGAGGGGGGGGGGTTGAAGGGGAGACGAGGTGCAGGGACGCAAGGGGAGTAAAGGAGAGTTTGTGGGAGCAGGGAAAAGGGACGCTCAGCGCGCAGCACAGAGCCGTCTGGCAGCACCAGCTTCCTCAGCACTCTGAAGTCGTGCTGCCCTGGCTTGTCGCTGGTGGGAGGGGAAAGGGGAGGGGAGGGGAGGAAAGGGGAGGAGGCAGTTGGGGAAAATGGGGGCTGGGCACACAGCACTGGGGAAAGAGAGAGAGGCGGAAGCACTGGCGTCGACAGCCCTCCACAGAACTTGCTTCTGCTTGGAGCTGCTGGTGGTTCGAGCAACATCTCCCAGCTTCTCTTTCACTTCCAATGCTAGCCGATGAGGGAAACCAGGTGCCTGTAGTGGTTGTGTGTTGTCCTTGCATGCGATGATGAGCACCCACCGGAATAACAAGCGCACGTGTGCAACTCACCTGACATACACAGCACAGCCCCCCACCGCCCTCGCCGCTGCATGGAACTCCGCTGCTGGATGCAGCGACTGGGGGCGGGGGCGGGGGCGGGGGCAAGGGGAAGGGCGGGGCCCAGAGAGGGGGGGGTTGTGTGGTGGGGGGGGAAGAAGAGGGGGTCATATGAGGTGTATAATAACTTCGGCAATACGATGCCAGACTCTGCTGCTGGTGCAGACAGAGAGAGAGGAGGTCGAAGCGAGGCGAGGTGAGGAGTGGGGACGAAAACAGCGAGAAGAGCCACTCAGAGTGCAAAACCCCGCCCATCGCATGCGCACCCACCTGGAGCATGCCCCATGCGCGCACCCACCTGGAGCATGCCCCATGCGCGCACCCACCTGGAGCATGTCCCATGCGCGCACCCACCTGGAACATGTCCCAATCGGGCTGCATGAACTCCCCCAAAAATAGGCTGTTGTACGCCACCTGGGGAGGTGCATGGGGCACAAGGAAAGGCGGGGTTGGGGAGAGGAACGGAGGTTAGGCGGACAGGGGACAGCTGGCGGGCTTAGGGAACTCAGGCAAGGCAGGGAGATGGCAGACAGGTGCCTTGCAGTTACAGGCACATAGCGACACAGGTCTTCACACGCACATAGCGGACGGTGCACAGAGCGGTATGGATGGAGTGCCCTTTGCTTCCAAAGCAGCGAAGGGCGACTGGGGGAAAACGACACGGAGTGACGCACGCACCGAGACGATGTGAACGGTGTGCGAGGCGGGGTCGGTGGGCCAGAAGTCATCGGACGCCCTGACGACCGCGGTCTGCTTGGCTCTGATATGGGGACAGAGAGAGGTGCGGGGGGAGAGAGAGTGGTGCAAAAAGATGTCAGGAGGTTGGGCCAGTGGTCATTGGATCCCTGCACCACTGCTGTCTGCTTCAGTCGGAGAGGTAAGGGGGGGAAGAGGGTGGAAACAGGGCCATAGGGAGAAGAGGAAGAGGGGTACGGGAGCACAGGGAGGCGGGGCCAGTGGGCCAGAAGCCATCAGCTGCCCGCACCACCGCTGTGTGCTTTGCTCTAGGGGAAGAGAGAAGGTGGGGGGTGGAGGGAGAGAGCGAGCGACCAAGCGAGCAAGTGAGGGAAGTGGGGGGGTGTGGGGGAGGAGGCGAGATAGGGGGAGCGAGAACAGCCCACTTACGAGTAGAGCCCATCTGTATTGTGGCTCATGCACGCGATGACCCCGTTCTCCTTGAAGTTCTTCGCCACACTTCGCTCCAGCGCCTCATGGAACCCCCGCGCCAGCACCACCCGGCCGCCATAGCCCGCGCCCAGCGTCTCCAGAATGTTTTGCGCGTCCACCTTCACCCCGTCCACGCCGCACGCCGCCAGGTACCCGTGCAGCGCGTCATAGAAGTGGAAGACTTTCGCCGGGCTGACCACGCCCAGCCCATTGAGCGTGAGCGAGTCATGCGCCATGTCGGGCTGGTTGAGCAGGATGGAGGGTGAAGGGACTGGGAAGACCAGGGATGGGTCGAATTGCTGCATGCTGGACGCGTGCGGGCGTACGCCGCCCCAGTAACCCATTAACGCGTGCCACACGTACACGTACCTGCAGGAGGGGTGGAGGGGGGGGGGGGGGGGGGAGGGGGAGGGGGTGGGGAGTCGTGGAGGTGGAGGACGAGGTAGGCAGAATCTTGTATGTGCAATCAGGGGGGGGGGGAGGGGGCGGAGGGGGGGGGGGGAAGACAGGGGGGCGAGGGGGAGGGAGGGGAGGCTGGCACGAATAACCCGGCCGGTCTTCAGTCCATGCCACACTTGAACTCCCTCATTACGCTCAAGAGCCAGTCACTTAAACCGAGAGCCACGCCCTTGAAACAAAGAGTCACTCACTTGAAACCAGGGACCACTAATTCAAAACAGAGAGTGACTCACTTGAGGTCATGGGCGGCCTTCACCTCGCGCACCACCTGCCCCAGTCCATGCACCATGCCCGCTGCCTCGCCCAACGCACTCGACCCGTCCTCCTCCTCCCCTCCCTGCCTTCCCTCCGCTCCCTTATCACCCCACCTCGCCTCCCCCTCCTGCCCCTCTTCGCCCTCCCTCCCCTCGCCCTTCTCCTGCTGCTGCTGCTGCTGCTGCTGCTTCTGCTGCTGCTGCTTGAACTTGTAGTTGGCCTTGAGGTCCGTGAGGCGACTGGCATACCTGGGGGCCAGAGGGGGGGAGGGAGAAGACGTGGAGAGAGTGGAAGTATAAGACCCAGGAACTGTTGCCTCACCCCTGCTTGTTCCCCCGCTTGCTCCTCCGCTGCCGTGCTGCTTGACTTGTAGTTGGCCCTGAGGTCGGTGAGGCGACTGGCATACCTGGGGGCCAGAGGGGGGGAGGGAGAAGACGTGGAGAGAGTGGAAGTATAAGACCCAGGAACTGTTGCCTCACCCCTGCTTGTTCCCCCGCTTGCTCCTCCGCTGCCGTGCTGCTTGACTTGTAGTTGGCCCTGAGGTCGGTGAGGCGACTGGCGTACCTGGGGACGAGAGGGGGGTGCGGGAGAGGTTGTTTTTGAGAATTCTCAAAAACACCCTGCAAAATCGACGAGAGGGGGGTACAGGAGAGGTTGGCAGAGAGTATAAGAGCCAGGGGGTGGAGGGGGGGCGAATGGGAAAAGAAAATGGGGCATGGTGAGGGGATGGATACAGGATGGATGACGGATGCAAGGGGGCAGAAGAGGGATGGGTGCCCGACAGTAGGTAGCGCTCTAGCACATTGTACGGACAGACAGTAGGTAGGAGTGAAGGACCTACTGAGTGCCGATCCGGTGGTGATGGTAGCGCAGGAGTCCTCGTGGGAGTCAGCCGCCACTGACCGCAATGCTGCAGAACCCTGTATTGCATGCATGCTACCGGGGCGTACAGAGCACATCCACTGAGCAGTGGTCCCAGATGACCTACTGAGTGCCCACGGTGATGGTGGCGCTGGAGTCCTCGTGGGAGTCAGCCGCCACCGACTGCCATCCATCGTCAATGATCAGAAACTTGGCTGGAGTGTCGCCCGCTGCCAGACTGCAGATGGGAGAGGGGGGAATGGAGAGACGCGTGAAAAGAGGGAGATTAGAGACGACTCATACAACGCGAGTGAGCCGCCACTGACTGCCATCCATGGCCAGTGATCAGGAAATTGGCTGGTATCACTCGCAGCCAGTGGCGCGGGTGAGAGAATGGCGGGCACTGGCTGGCGTGCCGCCCGCTGCCAGACTGCAGTGGGAGAAGTGAGGTGGAAGGAGGGATGCCATATGGGGGAGCGGGATGGCAGTGGGGAGACGTCTACACGATTCACCCTACTGTCGAGCACTCTTGATTCCCGACAACCTAACAGGCTTTTCCAGGTGCGTTTGCAGGCTTCCCAGGCTGTACAGGATTGTTTGCCTTTTCCTATTTCCCATTTGTCGGCCCTTGGCTTGCACTAATATGATGGCCTCTGTACGAGGCTCAATGGTGCGATCACCCGCACCTGGCGGGTGAGCCCCTGCTAGACGCCCCGGGTGAGCCCCGGGCGTCCAGCTTTGCGGCATGCATGATGCATGTGGGTACGGGTGTGGTGCTCTTGCACACCAGAGAGAGGGGGGGCGGATGTTGCCTGGCACACCAGAGAGAGGGGGGGGATGTTGCCTGGCACACCAGAGAGGGCGGGATCTCGCGCGCACCTGGCGAGCCCCTGCTTGACGCCCTTGGCGTCCACCTTGGTGTAGAAGGCGTCCCACGTGCACCACCCAAAGCAGTCCAGCAGCCCGGGCAGCTGGTCGGCACCAGCGGGTGAACGAAGGGGGGAGGAAGGGGGTTGGGGCAAGGCACAGAGGGAGGTTGGAGCGCCTTGTAACTCGTTCCACATGCACCAAACAAAGCAGTCCAGCGGCCCGGGCAGCTGGGGCACGCAGGGTGAACGGGGGAGGGGAAGGGGAAGGGGAAAGGGAAAGGGGAAGGAGGAAGGGGAAAGGGAAGGGGGAAGGGGGAAGGGGGAAGGGGGAAGGGGGAGGGGGAAGGGGGAAGAGGGAAAGGGGAAGCAGGAAGGAGGAAGGGGGAAGGAGGAAGGGGGAAGAGGGAAAGGGAAGCGGGAAAGGGGAAGGGCACAGAGGGCGGTTTTCAACACGTCCCAGCCACGAGCACCACCCAAAGCAGTCCAGCAGCCCGGGCAGCTGAGCCACACAGGGTGAAGGAAGAATGAAGGTGAAGGGGGGAAGGGGGGCGGGGGAAGGGGGAAGGGGAAAGGGAGGAGGGCAAAGAAGGATTGTGAAGCGCATGGCTCGTCTCAGGGAGGCTCGTCTCAGGGAGGCTCGTCTCAGGGAGGCACGCAGTGAAGCGCACCACCCTAAGCAGTCCAGTCCAGCAGCCGGGTCACCTGGGGCACACAGCATGCAGGGGAAGGTTGGGAGGCATGGAGGGGGCGAGGTTGGGACGGCTTGAGACATTGAACACAAAGGCTCACGTAGGGATGATACTCCCATGCCGACCAAGGCTGGAGCAGCAGCGAGACAAGGGAACGGCTGCAGACGGAGAGAGGAAAGATGAAGGCTCGTGCAGCAGCAGCAGCAGCAGCAGCATAAGCAGCGTGATTACCAAGGTGATGAGGTGCACAGGAGAGCGCAGCAGAGGGGCGCACCTGCTTGTCCTCCCGGCGAAGGAAGGACCGTGTGCGCTCCTCCACCGCCCTGCCAACACGGCGGGAGGGAGCATGGGTGGGGAAAGCATGGGTGGGGAGAGCATGGATGGGGAGAGCATGGGTGAGGAGAGCATGGGTGGGGAGAGCATGGGCGGGGAGAGCATGGGTGAGGAGAGCATGGGTGGGGAGAGCATGGGTGGGGAGAGCATGGGTGGGGAGAGCATGGGTGGGGAGAGCATGGGTGGGGAGAGCATGGGCGCACGAGGTAAGACGACCTGAAGATGAAATTGCTTAGCGACAGCCTCTTTTAGGCAGCCTTTGGAAAAGGACCCGTGTTCCTTAACAGCCTTGCAAAGACCATGTCAAATCAATGCTTCATAACGGCCCCGTCTATTCCTTGGATGTATACCATTTTTTTTACAAAAATTAATATGTGTACGCGTATTCAACCATATTCATTGGACAGTTCAATAAGGTGAGGCGGCGTGCTTAGAGGCACTCACTTGACAGCATCGGCAATGATGGTGTAGGGGTTGCTGCCACTGTGCATGTACAGCGCGTGCAGTGACTCCGCCGTGCACACATGGGGGTCGCCTGGTGGGATCAGGTGTGCATGGTTGGACAGCGGACGGGTGGGAGTGGAACATGGGGGAGAGAGCAAGGGTCATCGAAACTGTCATCAAGTGCATGTACAGCGCGTGCAGTGACAGGAAGCGTCACAGGAGGCGTCATGATAGTACATGTACAGCGCGCGCAGTGACTGTGACGTGCACACATGGGGGTCGCCTGATGGGGTGACTTGTGGTCATTGGAAAGAGGTCGGAGGGCAGTGGAACATGCGAGAGAGAACCAAGGTCTCAGACAAGAAAGCATCCAGTGACTCTGACATGCTCACATGGCGTTGGCTTGGTGGGATGACGTCGGCATGCGGGGTCAGAAGTGATTGGCAGGGGTGGGGAACAGGGGGGAAGAAACCTAGCGAGCAGAAACCGGCACAAGGTTTGATGAGAATTGACGGGCACACCAAGATGCAGCATGAGAGGGCGCACACACACAGCAAACAGCACACAGCACAGCACTGCAGGCTCACCGCTCTCCAAGCACACTTCCAGGTGGTCAGTAGGCGAGCCCTGCAGTGCGGCGCGGAAGGACCCATCCAGCAGCGGCAGCAGCACCACGTACACCGGACCGCACTCTGCCCCTTCCCCTGGAGCGGCGTGCGCGGGCGGGGCGGGCAGTTCCAGCAGCAGGAACTGCGTCTCCACTGGCACCTCGCGGCCGCTGCTGCCCACGCGCTGAGTCATCCACCAGAGCTTGAAGCGGAAGCAGCACAGGAAGCGCACGCCCCTGGGGGGGTACGGGAGCACTCAGATTAGAAAGGGCCTCAACTCAAAGGTAATTCAAAAGACATCCACCGGAGCTCGAAGCGGAAGCAGCACAGAAATCGCAGGCCCCTCTGAGAGTGGGGAAGCATTCAGTTTTGAAACGTTTCAAGGGCCATTCAAAAGCCGTATACCATAGCACCTGCGTGCGCTCACACACCTGCGTGCGCTCGCACACCTGCGTGGGCTCGCACACCTCTGTAGAGACCATTCAAAACCCTGCGAGCCAATCAGACTCACACCTGAGCGCTCCCAGTTGGAACACATGCCAGCTGCGGGCCTCCCGGAATCGCGTCCCCAGAAACACGCCGGGCGCCCCCGATTCCCCCGCCGCGCCCGTGTGCGGCGTGAGCACGAGCGACGGCGGCACGTCGCTCAGCACCACGCGACCGTTGGCGACCAGCTGGCGATCGTCGCTTATGCTGACGCTCGGGGGAAGTGGCATCGCGGAATCTGATCCTGCCGGCCGCGAGTGCGATGACGCCGCTGGCGGGATTGAGAGTGGCGGGTTCGATAGGAGCGGCGCTGGTAGCGGCTGGTGCGAGGACGAGAGGGCGGAATCGAGGGCAGGAGAAGCCAGCGAGGGGTCGAGGGGAGGGGAAGAGAGCGTGTCGAGGGCCGGCTGCACCGCTAGCGCCATGGATTGCTGCTGATGGAAAGATTGATGCTGATCGAACGACTGATGTTGGTCGACCGACTGCTGCTGACTTTGCAGCTGCTGGCGGGTTTGCCGCGATGCCGATTGGGCGCGGCGTGACGGGGGGGGGCGAGCGGACGCCCGCGGTGGCGGGCGAGCAGCAGCGACGATCAAACAGGCTCTTGACTTCAACGGGGATCTAAGATCGGAATGAGCACTTGGGGAGCTGAACTTGGCGGGTCTGATGGCGGGAGTGACGGCGGGAGTGACGGCGATGGAACGAAGGTAACTTGAGAGGAATGGGTTTCGGGATGGTTCGCTGCGACGACTCTGCACTGGGAGAAGCGATTGCGAAGTTAGCGGCGCGATCGAGCTGTGAGAAGTAGCGAGGAGTGAATAATAAGTTAAGGTTCGAGGAGGAGATGCTGCCGACACGGTGAGGAGGGAAGAGGATTTCACTAGGCTAGCTGCTGGAGTTGATAAGCACAGCACGCGGACCATTCTCGAGTCCCTGGCATCTCACCTGTCGCAGCGTCTGGAGTAGACGCCTCCAGATGTATCAATTGGCAGGCGATGCGAAGTTAACTAAGGCGGGGAAAGCTAGCAGAGTTCACCCCATTGCTTGCGACCCACACTGAAGGATGTTCATGAGACACGAGGCTTGGAACGAGGAATGGAGTGCCTCGGGAGGAAGGAGAGAGGTAGGGCTGCTCCCTGTGAACCACGGGCAGAAGTGTTGGTTGGTGGTGCAGGTGTACTGGAGGTGGTGGTCGCTCAGTGCGGCGGAATTGGGTGGTGTGGGGTGAGATGCGATGAGACGCGAGGGAGGTGGGTTTGGAAGGGAGAAACCAACCTCGACTGATCTGGGACCCCCACCAAGATCTGTGGCGGGAGTGTCAGATCCAGGGCTCTTGCTGAGCCTTTTTAGTACTCTGTTTCTCCCGGAAAACACCCCAAATGTTACTTTGGGCCGAGTTACACATTGTTGCTTGCCCAAGGTTTCCTCGCAAGTGTCACATCACTTCGGGTCAGAGATTCGACAGCCTGGATAAGCACGCGTCAGTAATTGTACTGACGTGTACTTACCTTAGCCGTCAATTCCTTTGTGTCACAGATTTTTTTTATTTTTTTTTTGGGCTTTAAGGACTTGTGTCACAGAGGCTTCACTTTCTACGAATTCCCCTACAGGCTAGGAAGGCTCTTACAACCTCGGGTCAAACCATGGCAGAGTGTCAAACCAACTCTGTTGGCAACAGTGAGAATTTTCCCGAACCCAGTTCTCACAAGTGCTGATTTGGTGTAGACTTCGACAAATGTTTAGGGCAGGAGTGAGATAGGTGGGGGAGAGATGTCTCGGTTTGCGCCAAAGGGGGAATACATAGAACTGGGAGGAGGGGGCGGGGGGGGAGGGGGTTTGTCCCTCTGGCGGGGTCGTCCACAATGCTCCCCGGGGCAATTATGATTCGTCCGGAGAATGCCCCTCACCCACTTGTATAATTCCGGATTTCAGGAAACGTTTACCCGTTCAAATTCCGGAATCCAGCCCGAAGTGACTCTTAATGGCTTTTTCATTCAGAGTAATTACTCTTTGAACAGAAGCCCTGGTCAGGCGCCTTGAGGTTGGGTGCGGGACCGCGGGTACTGGGGGAAACTTCAGCGCGGATCACCGCGCCGCCAAATTGCGACAACGCGCAAGCGCAAGTGAATTTGAGCCAGGGCTCTCGGTTCAAGGGTAAACATCCGGAATGTCAGGTACATTCCGGGTCTTTCCTGCTGAAATCCTGATTTTAAGGGTTTCGGACTCACAAACCTCCTGACTGATTCCGGGCGTTTCTAAGGAACTACCTGAGCAATCCGGATTGCTCGAAAATTTATCCTGGTCATCCGACTGGCATGGAAACTCACCCGTGCTGGAATTGCAACCCTACTCCCCCAACCCCCCAATTCCTTCGCAACCTCGACCAATTTTCCACGCAATATGAAGGTGCGACCCGTGGAACTTTCACAACTACAGAAGTGCAGGGCTGTCAGACTTATCACAACTCCTTAATATCACCTTAGCCAGGTTGCGCACTGTCCCTCCAAGTTGTACGCATTTCTGTCGCGATTGACAAGGAAAGTGTCGAACTTGGTGTGGTGGTGAGGGACAGCAGCAGCAGCAAGTGTGGGTTTTGTATTCGTCTCTATCGTTTCTTCCATCGATGTCCTTCCTGCTTGTACTCGAAGTGCCCACAGGTTCCGCTGATATGTAGGGAGTCCCAAAAAACACTCTGGATTTCAGATTGAAAGGTCAAAGTAATCCTGAAATTAAGAGAGATTTTCCAGGGAATGCTGAATTTTCAGGATCTTTAGTGACGCGAATCCTGCGACCGTTGGGTCTTGAAAAACGAAAAATTAGCCCTGATTTGAGCCCTGGGTGTTGCGCAATGCGCAGCGCTGTCCCCTCGGGAACTTCCAGAGCGCTAGTGGTGTCCGAGGAACACCGCAGCAGCGGCACCAGCTCAACTCGTGGATAGCATCCAGCTGTTGACACGTAGCTTGGGGAGGTCCTCGTCAGAGTCTACGGGCTCAGCGTCACTTCCACGTGAGAACTTGTCAACTGGTTGGACGTTGTCCACGCTGACTGGAGATATTTTTCAAGAGTGCGTGCGCGATAAGTTTACAGCGTTTCAGTACGGTTCTTGATGTTGTGAATCGGTTGTAGGGTTTCACCACTTGGAAAAGCGAACGAAAGTGTACTCACAGAATCGCTGGGCGCACTTTCCGTCTCTGGTTTCAATTTCACATTTCTTGAATTGTCACCATTCTTTCGTAGCGAATGGAGTACGGTGCATTTGTGGTTCGCGTCAAGCTTCGTTTCAAGCACCTTGAAACGATTTCAGAAACATTTTCCAATAATGACACAAGCTTCAAGCTCTCTCATCCAGTCACACACTTCCAGGGTAAGTCAGTGGCCACCAAACGACATTCCCGAAAAGTATGCTGATGATTTTGGAGTTACAGCCTACTTCTGCGTGGTCGGGCTTGCCACTGTGGGGGGAATGTGGTTGGCGTCAGTTAGGGATCACGCGTTAGCAACCTTGGTGGGAAAACAGGTGACGTCGACCACATTCCCCGCGAAAAATGCTGCCCGCTCCTGCCTTTCAAGCATCCGTGCTCGTATAGCCGCGCGCATTTAGTGCTCACTACTAAGAGGCGTGCTTGGAGCGCCCTCGACGGGTGTCACGCCCTCGACGGCTGTCACGCCCTCGACGTGTGTTTGGGTAAGAAGCACCTCGATTCCCCCCCGCTGCGCGATCCCCCCAACCGGCTGCCTACGAGAGCTCCGCTTTCCTTCCGCGTTGCGCGTTCCTCGTCACCCTCGTGCCCTTTAATCGCCTCCCATGTCTCCCATCTCGCCTCCTCCTCCTCCCTTTGGCCGCTCCGCCAGGCAAACCCGTTGGGGATGCCACAATGTAGAACCGTATGCGTTCAATTCACTTATCACTTCCTCGTGTGACGCACCGGTCGCCACTCACTTGTCGTCCCCCATGCCCTTTGCCCATCCCCCACTCGCTTGGACAGGATGAAATAGCGTGTGCCGCTGTCACCGCCTCCCCTCGATATTGTCACCGTCACAACCATCTCGATCACCATCGCCTTCACCTGCACCACCAGCATCAGCATCACCGTCAGCACCGCCATGGGTTGCTGCCTATCGAGCGTAGCCGTGGAGCCATCCGCATCCTCATTCCATGGCGGCACGGCCCCGTCGCTCCCCCACAAGCATCTCAAGGACATCAAGGACCCCATGCTGACGTCAGCCACCAAGGTCGGACCGGAAGGCTCCCTGGAAGCACACTACAAGCTGCTGGGCGGCACACTGGGATGCGGGCGGGTGGCGTCCGTCAGGTATGATTGACTTTGCTGCACTTGGTTTTGGCTTGCTTCGTCTTCTGCCTCCTGCCCCATTTCCTTTCCCCCACTCGTCTTCTATGTCTTCACCATGTCTCCCCGCCATCCGCTCCTCTCCCCTCCATCCGCACCTCTCCCCACCATCCACTCCTCTCCCCACCATCCGCTCCTCTCCCCACCATCCACTCCTCTCCCCACCATCCACTCCTCTCCCCACCATCCACTCCCTTCCCCACCATCCACTCCCCTCCCCACCATCCACTCCCCTCCCCACCATCCACTCCCCTCCCTTGCCAAGCTTGTTCTTCCCCTGGGCCCCCTTTCCTCTCCCTGACCTCCCTCTCCCTGACCTCCCTCTCCCTGACCTCCCTCTCCCTGACCTCCCTCTCCCTGACCTCCCTCTCCCTGTCCTCCCTCCCCCTGTCCTCCCTCTCTCTTTCCGCCCGCCCACTGCCTGCAGGGAGGCGGTGGATCGGGCAACAGGAGTGGTGGTGGCAGTGAAGGCATGTTCCAAGAAGGTTCTCAATGCACGGCCCGCTTATATCAGCAGGGTGGGTGAGGTGCACACACCGTGCCAACTAGAAATCTGTGCATACTAACAGTGGTGTGCACACCACTATTCGTCTTTCCGCGTACTATCCTTGCTTCTCCTTCTAACCCGTATCATCTTCCCCTTGCCCACCAACAATTGCTCTCCCTTTTCTCCCTCTCACTACGTCCTCCTCCGCTCCGCTCTTTCCCGTAGCCCTTCTCAGACGAAATCTAGTTTTGAGGCGCCTCAAAAGTAGCCCTTCTCAGACGAAATCTAGTTTGGAGGCGCCTCAAAAGTAGCCCTTCTCAGACGAAATCATCTCTACATCGCGTGGCTTCCCTGCTCCCATCCCCTCTGCTCCCATCCCCTCTGCTCCCATCCCCTCTGCTCCCATCCCCTCTGCTCCCATCCCCTCGTCTCCCATCCCCTCGTCTCCCATCCCCTCGTCTCCCATCCCTTCCGTTGCCCCAACAGACCATCGAGATCGAGGCCCTGCAGCAGGTAACACTCCATCCTCCCTCCCTTCCCCTCATCGCTCTCCCAAGTTTGCTTTCCATTCATCCCTCCTCCATCCACTACTTTCTCAGCCTTTTCCCACCATTTTCCACCTTTTTCCACCCATTTCCACCTTTTTCCACCCATTTCCACCTTTTTACGCCTTTTTCATCCCTGCTGATGCTGTCAGCGCCATGCTATATCGTTTCTCCGTCTCCGTCCAATCCGGACTGTCATGCTGCCGCCAGTGCACCCTCCCCATGTGTGGCCTCCTCTTTCTCACACCCTCACACCTTCTCATGCCGTCACGTCCATCAAAATCTCGGCCCCATCTCTCCTTCCTTCCCATATTCCCATCCCCCCCCCACCCCTCAATTCTCTCTCCCACACACACTCCCTCCCTCCCCCAGCTGTGGGCGCCACCAGTCCCCCCATCGCCGCCCATCATCCGCCTGCTGGCCACGCACGAGGACAGCCGCCATCTGCACATCGTCACGGAGAGGGCGGTGGGCGGGGACCTCTTCATGAGCCTGGCTGCACGCTCTTCCTTCACCGAGGGGGACGCCATCCACATTGGTGGGTGTGTGTGGGTGCGTCTGGGTGTGGGTGTGAGAGGGTGTATGTGTATAGGAGCCGACACACCAGTGGGCCACCTAGAGGGCCGTGGGCGGGGACCTCTTCATGAGCCTGGCTGCACGCTCCTCCTTCACTGAGGGGCACGCCACCCACATCGGTGGGTGTGTGTGGGTGTGTGTGGGTGCGTCTGGGTGTGTGTGTGTGGGTGTGGGTGTGAGAGGGTGTATGTGTGTATAGCAGGGGCCAGCACACTAGTGGGTCACTGAGAGGGCCATTGGCATTGGCAGCAACTTGCTCATGAGCCTGGCTGCATGCTCGTCCTTCACCGAGGGGGATGCCATCCACATCGGTGGGTGTGTTTGCATGGGGGCCGACCGCACTAGTGGGTCACAGAGAAGGCGATGGGCGGCGGCAACCTCTTCATGAGCCTTGCTGCGCGTTCCTCCGTCACCAACCAAGGGGGGCGCGGTGCATACTGGTGAATGCGCCGGTATACGCTCCTCCTGAGCTTCTTACATCTTGGGGTGAATGTCAGTGTCGGTGCGACTGTGTGCAGAGAGGGGGAGAAGGGGGGGGGGAAGGGGGGTGGAGGTGGAGGCAGGGGTGGTTGTGAAGTGAATGTGTGTCTGCGCATGGGAGCTCGTGTGTGTGCAAGTAAGCCATCTGTTTCAAATCGCATCCCCGTCCTCTGGTGAACCCTGCGAGGCGCAACCCTACAGTCCTGGGAGCAGCAGGAGCGGCAGTCCATGGGACGCCCTCGACAGTGTTGAGTGCCTGCTGCTGCACTGCACTGCACTCCCCTCGACAGTGTTGAGTGCTTGCTGCTGCACTGCACTGCACTCCCCTCGACTGTGTTGAGTGCTTGCTGCTGCACTGCACTGCACTCCCCTCGACAGTGTTGAGTGCTTGCTGCTGCACTGCACTGCACTCCCCTCGACAGTGTTGAGTGCCTGCTGCTGCACTGCACTGCACTCCCCTCGACAGTGTTGAGTGCTTGCTGCTGCACTGCACTGCACTCCCCTCGACAGTGTTGAGTGCTTGCTGCTGCACTGCACTGCACTCCCCTCGACAGTGTTGAGTGCTTGCTGCTGCACTGCACTGCACTCCCCTCGACAGTGTTGAGTGCTTGCTGCTGCACTGCACTGCACTCCCCTCGACAGTGTTGAGTGCTTGCTGCTGCACTGCACTGCACTCCCCTCGACAGTGTTGAGTGCTTGCTGCTGCACTGCACTGCACTCCCCTCGACAGTGTTGAGTGCCTGCTGCTGCACTGCACTGCACTCCCCTCGACAGTGTTGAGTGCTTGCTGCTGCACTGCACTGCACTCCCCTCGACTGTGTTGAGTGCTTGCTGCTGCACTGCACTGCACTCCCCTCGACAGTGTTGAGTGCTTGCTGCTGCACTGCACTGCACTCCCCTCGACAGTGTTGAGTGCTTGCTGCTGCACTGCACTGCACTCCCCTCGACAGTGTTGAGTGCTTGCTGCTGCACTGCACTGCACTCCCCTCGACAGTGTTGAGTGCTTGCTGCTGCACTGCACTGCACTCCCCTCGACAGTGTTGAGTGCTTGCTGCTGCACTGCACTGCACTCCCCTCGACAGTGTTGAGTGCTTGCTGCTGCACTGCACTGCACTCCCCTCGACAGTGTTGAGTGCTTGCTGCTGCACTGCACTGCACTCCCCTCGACAGTGTTGAGTGCTTGCTGCTGCACTGCACTGCACTCCCCTCGACAGTGTTGAGTGCTTGCTGCTGCACTGCACTGCACTCCCCTCGACAGTGTTGAGTGCTTGCTGCTGCACTGCACTGCACTCCCCTCGACAGTGTTGAGTGCTTGCTGCTGCACTGCACTGCACTCCCCTCGACAGTGTTGAGTGCTTGCTGCTGCACTGCACTGCACTCCCCTCGACAGTGTTGAGTGCTTGCTGCTGCACTGCACTGCACTCCCCTCGACTGTGTTGAGTGCCTGCTGCTGCACTGCACTGCACTCCCCTCGACAGTGTTGAGTGCTTGCTGCTGCACTGCACTGCACTCCCCTCGACAGTGTTGAGTGCTTGCTGCTGCACTGCACTGCACTCCCCTCGACTGTGTTGAGTGCTTGCTGCTGCACTGCACTGCACTCCCCTCGACAGTGTTGAGTGCTTGCTGCTGCACTGCACTGCACTCCCCTCGACAGTGTTGAGTGCTTGCTGCTGCACTGCACTGCACTCCCCTCGACAGTGTTGAGTGCTTGCTGCTGCACTGCACTGCACTCCCCTCGACAGTGTTGAGTGCTTGCTGCTGCACTGCACTGCACTCCCCTCGACAGTGTTGAGTGCTTGCTGCTGCACTGCACTGCACTCCCCTCGACAGTGTTGAGTGCTTGCTGCTGCACTGCACTGCACTCCCCTCGACAGTGTTGAGTGCTTGCTGCTGCACTGCACTGCACTCCCCTCGACAGTGTTGAGTGCTTGCTGCTGCACTGCACTGCACTCCCCTCGACAGTGTTGAGTGCTTGCTGCTGCACTGCACTGCACTCCCCTCGACAGTGTTGAGTGCTTGCTGCTGCACTGCACTGCACTCCCCTCGACAGTGTTGAGTGCTTGCTGCTGCACTGCACTGCACTCCCCTCGACAGTGTTGAGTGCTTGCTGCTGCACTGCACTGCACTCCCCTCGACTGTGTTGAGTGCTTGCTGCTGCACTGCACTGCACTCCCCTCGACAGTGTTGAGTGCTTGCTGCTGCACTGCACTGCACTCCCCTCGACAGTGTTGAGTGCTTGCTGCTGCACTGCACTGCACTCCCCTCGACAGTGTTGAGTGCTTGCTGCTGCACTGCACTGCACTCCCCTCGACAGTGTTGAGTGCCTGCTGCTGCACTGCACTGCACTCCCCTCGACAGTGTTGAGTGCTTGCTGCTGCACTGCACTGCACTCCCCTCGACTGTGTTGAGTGCTTGCTGCTGCACTGCACTGCACTCCCCTCGACAGTGTTGAGTGCTTGCTGCTGCACTGCACTGCACTCCCCTCGACAGTGTTGAGTGCTTGCTGCTGCACTGCACTGCACTCCCCTCGACAGTGTTGAGTGCTTGCTGCTGCACTGCACTGCACTCCCCTCGACAGTGTTGAGTGCTTGCTGCTGCACTGCACTGCACTCCCCTCGACAGTGTTGAGTGCTTGCTGCTGCACTGCACTGCACTCCCTCGACAGTGTTGAGTGCTTGCTGCTGCACTGCACTGCACTCCCCTCGACTGTGTTGAGTGCCTGCTGCTGCACTGCACTGCACTCCCCTCGACAGTGTTGAGTGCTTGCTGCTGCACTGCACTGCACTCCCCTCGACAGTGTTGAGTGCTTGCTGCTGCACTGCACTGCACTCCCCTCGACTGTGTTGAGTGCTTGCTGCTGCACTGCACTGCACTCCCCTCGACAGTGTTGAGTGCTTGCTGCTGCACTGCACTGCACTCCCCTCGACTGCCGCTCAGAACCTTAATGCCCCCCCCCCCCCCCTTCTCTCCCTCCCACTCCCTCCTCCCCGCGTCTTCTGCCTATCTACCCGTACGGCCCTGCAGCGAGGCAGCTACTGCAGGCAGTGGCTCTCTGCCATGCGCGGGGGGTCACTCACCGGGACCTGGTGAGAGGCATGGGGTGCATGCATGGCGCATGTATGGTGCACGCATAGTGCATGCATGGTGCATGTATGGTGCACACATGTGCATGCATGGTGCATGCATAGTGTGTATGGTGCACGCATGGTGCATGCATGTGCATGTATGGTGCATGCATGGTGCATGCATGTGCTTGCATGGTGCATGCATGGTGTCTGTATGGTGCATGCTTGGGCCATGGGTTAGCACTCGATACACGATGACCAGAGGAATGGCTCTATGCCATGCGCTGGTCATGAGATATGGCATATGGGGTATGTCATGGGGCATGGGGTATGTGGTATGCCATGGAGTACGGTAAGCTTGCATGTGATGGACACAGGAGTGTCTCTCTGCCATGTGAGGGGGGTGACCCACAAGGTACGGTATGGTGGTCAACGGTTGTGTTGGTGGAAGGGAGTGTGTGTCATGAGCCTCCATGGGCAATGCCCAGCTGACGCTTGCTCTCATGCCCACCTGACGCTTGCTCTCATGCCCACCTGACGCTTGCTCTCATGCCCACCTGACGCTTGCTCTCATGCCCACCTGACACTTGCTCTCATGCCCACCTGACGCTCGCAGCACCATGCAATTGCCCATCCCTCCTCTCTGCCCCTCACTCTTGCCCTCCTTCCCCCTTCCCTCCCCCCTCCCACCACCCTCCCTCCCTCCTCCCTCCGCCCTCCCTCCGCCCTCCCTCCCCCCCGTCTCCCCCCCTGCAGAAGCCTGAGAACATCCTCCTGTCGGACCCCCACACGCTGGCCATCAAGCTCATTGACTTCGGCAGCGCGGCTCTCTTCCAAGCAGCAGACCAATGTCCACCGTCCGCCGGAGAGCAATCTGCACCGTCCACTGAAGAGCAATCCCCAACGTCCAGTGGAGAGCAGCAGTCATTGTGGAAGGCGGCGTGCCCTGTGCTGCGTGACTTCATGGGCACGGCGTTCTACGCCGCACCCGAGGTGTGGCGCCATGAGTACGGGCCACAGGCGGATGTGTGGAGCGCAGGGGCTGTGGTGTGCGTGCTGCTCACTGGTGTGCCGCCCAGTGGGCTTACGCGTGCCACAGTTGGTTCCAATGCCACGTGGCAGGGCATGCAGGTGAGTGAGGGGTGCATGGCAGCGCATGCAGGTGAATGGCTTTTAGGGGTTTGGTGTGAAGGGTTCAGTTACTTGGTGACACGTGGTGGGGGCTGGAGGAGTATGCTGTGTGCACCGGAATGTGTGATGGAGAACATGTGTGATTCAGTGCATGTGTAATGGAATGCACGTGTGATGGAGTGCATGTGTGATGGAATACTCCCCGTGTCTCTTTACCACGCATCGCCTGTAAAAGAAGCTATTGGCAGGTCGTCGGCTTTCCTCTATGGCGCGCGCATGCACTTGCACATTCACGTTCATTCTCGCCCGTGAATCAGCAGGCCCGCTCGTCATGTTCTTTAGAAATTTCAGAAAACAAATCGCCCATGAAACACCTCCCACACCACCTCCACGCCACCTCCTCTCCTCCCAACTCCACCCCCCATCAGAATGGGGTAGTTCCAACTCTACCGCCGGAAACCTCCCCATCAGCGCGCTCCTTCCTGGAGGCTCTCCTCGAGCCCGACCCCTCCAGGCGGCCCACAGCAGCAGGCGCTCTGCGGCACCCGTGGCTTGCTGCCAGTGCAGCGTGGGCTGCAGAGGATGGGGTGCACTCTGCTGTGGCGGCCACTGCTGCTGCTGCTGCCACACAGGCAGGAGCAGGTGAAGGAGTGGAGCGTGGGGGGGAGAGGGCGAGGGGGGACAAGGCAGAGGCGGAGGAGCAAAGGAGGGAGGTGGCAGGAGAGGAGGAAGGGGAGAGGAGCGCGAGGGAGGAGGAGAGAGGGGTGAGGGCAGGGGAGATGGCTGTGAGAGGGGGAAGGCACGAGGAAGGATCCCTGGGAGGCGATGTGTCACCATCAAAGGGGCCCGTGCAGGGAGTTATTTCTGAGGGTGCTGCAGCGAGGGGCTTATTGCAGGACGGCACCTCAGCCGAGGGGCGTGTGCGGGGAGGGGTGCAGCTGGAGGGGTCTCTAAGAGGTTTCCGCATGTACGCAGCTACCAGGAAGCTGCAGCGCGCGTGCGTTGCCCTGCTGTCGCTGGAGCTCAGCGAGCCGGAGTTCCGCCAGCTCATCCGCCACCTGGCCAGCGCCACGTCAGCGAATGCCATGCCACTGGAGCCTCTCCACGAAGCAGCCACGGGACTGGAAGGGGAGAGCAACGAGGCTAGTCAGGCAGAGCGGCTGCAGCAGAACCAGCAGCACTGGCAGCAGGTGCAGCAGCAGCAGCAGCAGCAGCAGCAGCAGCAGCCGTCGCCCATGCTGTCTCTGCCTGTGCTGCTGGCCAGCCTGGACGCCCTGGGCCACCACAAGGTGTCGCTGCAGCTCATGGGCATCCACCACAGCGTCATGCATCACAGCACCATGCATCATGGTGTCGTGCATGGGAACATTGCGCAGGGCACGGCAAAGCAGAGCGTGCATGGAAGCCGTGCGCGCGGGGGCGCTCAGCATGTTGGCGCTACTGGTAGCAGCGCAGCAGGTGGACAGGGGGACACGGAGGAGCGAGTGCGTGGTGGTTCTGGGATCGCTGCTGCGCTGGAGGAGCAGCAGCAGCAGCAAGTTGGAGCTGCTGTTGCCATCCCCCCCGTGCCTCTGTTTGACTTGCTTGACTTCCATGCGCTGGTGACCCGGCACCACGACATGCACCGCCTGCACCATGAGGACGAGGAGGGCCACCACTCCTCCACCCACGCTGCTGCAGCTGGCGCACGCGGGGGAAGGGGAAGGGCTGCTGCAGTGAGAGGAGGGCGGGGCAAGGGCAAGGGGAAGGAGGTCGGGGCAGAGGGCGAGGGCCGGCAGGTGGAGGCCGGGAGCAGCCATCGTGGCTCGCGGCGGTTCTTTGGGGTCATGAGGGGAGGGGAGGGGGAGAGGGAAGGAGAGAGCAGTGGTAGTGTGCATGGCGGTACTACTCACGATGGTAGCACCCACGGCAGCACCCATGGGTCACGGCGTTTTCTCAGTATGATGCGAGCAAGGGAAGGGGATATGGGCAATGCAGGGGGGGAAGGCAGACAGCAGGGGGCAGGCGGCAGTCAGCATGGCTCGCGGCGCTTCTTCGGCCTCATGGGAGCGCAGGAGGGGAAGGAGAAGGAGGAGGAAGGGCCGGATGGGACAAGGAAAGAGGGTGAAGCGGGCGGCAGCAGCCACGGGTCTCGGCGGTTTTTCAGCATCATGAAGGGGAGTGGGGCGCCAAGCCCGGGAGGAACAGGCGTGCCAAGCCCCGGAGGCAGCCTGCGAGGAAGCTTCCGTATGGCCCAGCGGCTGGGTCTGCTCAGACTGGGCCGAGAGGAGGGGGAGGGGGAGGGGGAAGGCATAGAGAGCCCCACTGCTGACAGCGACATGGTGGGTGCCATGGCTGGCAATGGTGGCGCCAGGCTTGCCATGCGCGGGCCGCTGTCGCCGCACTCACCCTCCATGAATGCTCAGAGTGACAATGCTGGAGGGTGGACCCGGCGCTTCAATGCACGTGGGAGTGCAGGCGGTGCAGGAATGATATGGCAGTCGCCCATTTGCCGCCTGCAGTCCCCTGGACTCTCCTCCCAGACAGGGGGCCAGCAGCAGGGGCGAGGGGAGCCTGGGGAAGGTGGAAGCAGCCATGCTGCTGCAACAACTACTGCTGCTGCTGCTGCTGCTGGACATGTGGGGCTCAGTGGGTCATTGCATGGTGGGGCTGGTTTGAACTGCCAGCGCGTGCAGTCGTGTGTTGACCTGGCATCCATGGCCGGGGCAGACTCTAGTCCCGCTGTTGGCAAGGGAGGAGGGAAGGGGAGAGAGAGAGGGGGATTTTGGGGGTCAGTGAAAGGAGGGATGCATGGAGGTGATGGGTTGTCGGGGACGAATCCTAAGGGGACATCTGTCCATGGGGAGTGCCTGTATAGGGAGTTTTTGTTGAGCGAGTGTACCCCTTGAACCACAGAGCATGCTAAAGCATTTCATAGTCAGCTTGTACATCCTTGGTGGTGTGGTGTGGTGTGGTGTGGTGTGGTATGTGTTATGAGCTTTGAGCATGCAAGTCATTCGTATATTGCGCTTTAGGGAAACCGAGCTGGGAACACGCATCGAGGAATTTATATATTGCGTGCAGCTCGACAATACCGATACCGAGTACAGTACAACCCAGCAGGGGAGGTTTCATGTTGATGACTCCATGCCCACAACTCTGCCCCAAATCCGCGGTTGTTGTCCTTGGTTTCTGCCCTACGAATCACAGCTGGCCAACAGCCAGCCAGTGAGAGAATCGCATCGAAATTATCCCACAGGCTTGCTCGGAGCTCCACAGGTGGCATGCAGCTCAGATTAGCCTGGCGGGTTGAACTGACGAACCGAAGCACAGCGCGTCGCAAAGCCCGTGGGTGGCGGTCGTCCGTCCGATGCGACCTCCACCCACACACCCTCATGTTCGCGTGCAAGGTCCCCTGCTAGTCTCCTTGCTTCCTCCCAGCATGGTGTGATACATGGACCACGGTGCGCCGCAGAATACCGTTCTGTTTCGTTCTTATAAACCTTACAACCATCTAGAACCTCAGGTTTGAAAACCCCGTATTTCTTTCGCATTCCTCCTCCCTTCCGCCTGATCTACTCTACATCCACCAAACCGAACCAAACAAGCTGGCCACTGAGCAACAGTGGAGTAGCGTTGCCTTCCGCACGGGAGAATGGGGAGGGGGGGAAGTGGGAGGTGGGAGGAACGATGGATGCACTGTGCAGTACACATGGCGGGTGGCTCATATGGTATGGCTGTGGGATGGGACGGGCGGACGGGACGGTACGGTACGGGAGGGAGGGACGGGAGTCTGGGACGGTGGTGCATGAATGGTGGTTCACTTCACTTCCCCTTGCTTTCAAGAATGGTGCACACGACGCGACGCGACATCGGCGTCACTCGCCGTCACCAGTTGCGACCTCCGTCGCCGACGAACGAGACGAGACGTGCGCCTACCCCGAGTCTGACTTTACGATGCCGCAAACTGTGGCAGAAAGAAACTCGTCTTTTTTGCGCTCCGTCTGCTAACGTCTTTTCAGGCTGGCAGCTTCGACGAGCTCCGTCAGTTAGGCCGTATCGCTCTCCGCATTCTCGCGGAATCTCGCTTGAGTGTGCCCATTTCAAGTATAAGGAGATTAACCTTATTTTTGGAGAGTCCGCGGGATTGAAGTCTTTCTGGCAACGAGCGCAGCACTAGTAGTAGGATCGATCGTATCGCACAGTCGCACTGATCGGCAGTAGTGCACAGAGATGGTCGCTGACTCGTTTCATGAGTCTACGAGCGCGCAACCGTCGATAGACTCTTCGACATAGATTAGTCTCGGGTTCGCCGTGGCTCCTTTTCCTAGGTTCAGTCGCAGCTTCGTCGCAACGTCGTCGCAGCTTCGTAGCTGCTTCGTTGCTGCTTAGTCGCAGCTCCTCGCAGCGTCTTTAACTTCGCTCCGCGTCGCGCTGCCGCCTTGCTGCCAGTTCACTACTAAGTACAGAAAGTCGCTGCCGCTTCAACTCATCCCCTGTCCTTCCAGCTCGTTGAATTCGAGTCTGCGCTTCTTGCCGCCGCCGCCGCCGCCGCCGCTGCCGCCGCCGTGATTTGAGTTAAATTCACGTCACGCTTCCGGGCCGGCTTGCCGTCTGTAATCCTCGCTCCCCAATGGCTCGCGGCGCATCATCTCGCGCCTCGATCACGGTGCATTATGCTATCCCCGTGCTCCTCGCCGTCGCCCTGCTCCGCATCCCCGCGTCGCTGCCCGCCACCACCGCCGCACCAGGTGCGCCTAGTAGGTCACTGAATGTCGCTGCTAGGGTTTGGGAGGGGAACGTGCGCCGTGCCTCTGATGCCCACTGCTTCATCGCCCCTCTCCCTTCTCCCTTTCTCCCTCCCCGCGTTCCCCAGTGGTGCAGAGCGGTACCCCCGACTCCTTCTACCGCTACCACTACCACGTACGCCGCCTGCCGCCTTGGCTGCGCAACCACATGGCGCGCGGACAAAGGCAGGGGGGAGGGGAAGGGGCGGGCGGAGCAGGCGGCGAGGGGAGCACTGCGGTGGCGACAGCAACCAGCGTGGATAGCGGCGGAGCAGAGACCGCCCTAAGCAGCAGCAGCACCAGCAGCAGCAGCAGCAGCAGCAGCAGCAGCAGCAGCAGCAGCAGTACTAGAGGCAGCATAGGCGGCGGCGGCAGTAGACCAGCAGGCAGTAGCGCGTATGCCAGAGCCAAAGCAGCCATCGCAGCAGCTAAGAAGACCAAAAGCAGCGTGTGGGGGAAGAGGAAGGCTGGGGGAAGGAAGGGCCGGAGAGCCCCGTGGGTGGACGTGTCGTGGGCCAATCACAGGCCGCTAGCGCAGGTGTACGAACCCGATTGGCCGGCTAGCAGCGGGGTAGCGACGGTGGCGATGACTGGAGACGGGGGAAGGGGCGGGGGGAGTGGCGCGTGGCCGTTGATTGGGCCGCTCATTAGCCCGCAGGCAAATAGTGAGTTGGGAGTGTCGACGGGGGGTGGGGGGGGGGGTGGCGGGTCATGGCCTGCATTGACTTATAATGACCTGCATTGACTTGGCATGACCTGCATTGACTTGCCATGACCCGCATTGACTTGTCTTTAAGCTTCATCTGTTATAATCGAAGATGGGGCGGGGAAGGGGGAAGGGAATGGAGGGAGATGGGGGGAAGTAGGGGGGAAGAGGAGAGCGCATGGATCATGGATGTGACATGGTGCCATGACTTGGGGATGTGACATGGTGCCATGACTTGGGGATGTGACATGGTGCCATGACTTGGGGATGTGACATGGTGCCATGACTTGGGGATGTGACATGGTGCCATGACTTGGGGATGTGACGTGGGCATCCTTCGCCTGCACTATCCTAGGCTCCCCCTTTCCCTGCTCCCCCTTTCCCGGTTCCCCTTCCCCTTCCCCTTCCCCTTCCCCTTCCAGAGCAACCCCCCGGCGAACTCCCAGGCGACCTGCCGTGCATGCCACACGCCTCAGCTCCCATCATCCAAGACGATTCGGAGTCCGAATTCGCCCAGCGCCTCCGGTACTCCCCTCACCCGCCCCATTGACCCGGTTCCCCTTTCCCCGTTTCCCCTCCCCTTCCAGAGCAACCCCCCAGCGATCTCCCCTGCACGCCGCACGCCTCGGCCCCAGTCATCCACGTCGACTCCGAGTCCGACTTCGCCCAGCGCCTCCAGTACCCGCCCTCCACCACGGTCATCCTGGAGCTCCACAAGCACCTGCTGCTGAGAGCCGGGCTGCTCTTCAACGCCTCCTTCGCCTGCACCATCCTGCGGTCCGCCCCGCCGCCAGGGGCGCCCGCCAGGGGCTTCCGCATCACGCTCATGCGCACGGATGTGCCCGTGCTGCGGATCGTGAACACCAGTAATGTGCTCGTGCACCGCGTGAGCTTCTTCCAGCCGTTTGCGGAGGACTCGGCTGCTTGTCAGGGGATTGCGTACGTGGGGACAGACGTCATCTGCCCCGCTATAAGCATCTATCAGGTCAGGTGACCCCTTTCGCCCTGCTGTACGCATGTCGTTTTGTTTGCGGAGGACTCTGCGGCGTGCCAGGGGGTTGCATACGTGGGGACGGACGTCATCTGCCCCGCTATAAGGATCTGCCAGGTGACGTCATCCGCCCTGCCATCAGCATCTACCAGGAGGCGTCATCCGCCCTGCCATATGCATGCAAAGGGCGACAAAATCTGCCCTTCCTATTATTCACATCTAACAAAGAATCCCATAAGCACCCTTAGAATTAGAGTGTTATGTGATCCCGTCTATGGCCGCATCAACGTGATGGTCCGTTCATTGTGCCTCACGCGAGGCTCAAAAGCCCATCTGCCTGCTCGTCTCCCCCACCAGGCGTGCCACATACAAGTTGTGAGGGGCCTGGTGTGCGGGCACAGAGTCGTGACGTGGTTCGTGGTCTTGCATCGACTCACCAACTCAAGCTCTTGCCCTCTGCTCTTCCCCCCACCAGGCGTGCCACATACAAGTTGTGAGGGGCCTGGTGTGCGGGCACAGAGTCGTGACGTGGTTCGTGGTCTTGCATCGACTCACCAACTCAAGCTCTTGCCCTCTGCTCTTCCCCCCACCAGGCGTGCCACATACAAGTTGTGAGGGGCCTGGTGTGCGGGCACAGAGTCGTGACGTGGTTCGTGGTCTTGCATCGACTCACCAACTCAAGCTCTTGCCCTCTGCTCTTCCCCCCACCAGGCGTGCCACATACAAGTTGTGAGGGGCCTGGTGTGCGGGCACAGAGTCGTGACGTGGTTCGTGGTCTTGCATCGACTCACCAACTCAAGCTCTTGCCCTCTGCTCTTCCCCCCACCAGGCGTGCCACATACAAGTTGTGAGGGGCCTGGTGTGCGGGCACAGAGTCGTGACGTGGTTCGTGGTCTTGCATCGACTCACCAACTCAAGCTCTTGCCCTCTGCTCTTCCCCCCACCAGGCGTGCCACATACAAGTTGTGAGGGGCCTGGTGTGCGGGCACAGAGTCGTGACGTGGTTCGTGGTCTTGCATCGACTCACCAACTCAAGCTCTTGCCCTCTGCTCTTCCCCCCACCAGGCGTGCCACATACAAGTTGTGAGGGGCCTGGTGTGCGGGCACAGAGTCGTGACGTGGTTCGTGGTCTTGCATCGACTCACCAACTCAAGCTCTTGCCCTCTGCTCTTCCCCCCACCAGGCGTGCCACATACAAGTTGTGAGGGGCCTGGTGTGCGGGCACAGAGTCGTGACGTGGTTCGTGGTCTTGCATCGACTCACCAACTCAAGCTCTTGCCCTCTGCTCTTCCCCCCACCAGGCGTGCCACATACAAGTTGTGAGGGGCCTGGTGTGCGGGCACAGAGTCGTGACGTGGTTCGTGGTCTTGCATCGACTCACCAACTCAAGCTCTTGCCCTCTGCTCTTCCCCCCACCAGGCGTGCCACATACAAGTTGTGAGGGGCCTGGTGTGCGGGCACAGAGTCGTGACGTGGTTCGTGGTCTTGCATCGACTCACCAACTCAAGCTCTTGCCCTCTGCTCTTCCCCCCACCAGGCGTGCCACATACAAGTTGTGAGGGGCCTGGTGTGCGGGCACAGAGTCGTGACGTGGTTCGTGGTCTTGCATCGACTCACCAACTCAAGCTCTTGCCCTCTGCTCTTCCCCCCACCAGGCGTGCCACATACAAGTTGTGAGGGGCCTGGTGTGCGGGCACAGAGTCGTGACGTGGTTCGTGGTCTTGCATCGACTCACCAACTCAAGCTCTTGCCCTCTGCTCTTCCCCCCACCAGGCGTGCCACATACAAGTTGTGAGGGGCCTGGTGTGCGGGCACAGAGTCGTGACGTGGTTCGTGGTCTTGCATCGACTCACCAACTCAAGCTCTTGCCCTCTGCTCTTCCCCCCACCAGGCGTGCCACATACAAGTTGTGAGGGGCCTGGTGTGCGGGCACAGAGTCGTGACGTGGTTCGTGGTCTTGCATCGACTCACCAACTCAAGCTCTTGCCCTCTGCTCTTCCCCCCACCAGGCGTGCCACATACAAGTTGTGAGGGGCCTGGTGTGCGGGCACAGAGTCGTGACGTGGTTCGTGGTCTTGCATCGACTCACCAACTCAAGCTCTTGCCCTCTGCTCTTCCCCCCACCAGGCGTGCCACATACAAGTTGTGAGGGGCCTGGTGTGCGGGCACAGAGTCGTGACGTGGTTCGTGGTCTTGCATCGACTCACCAACTCAAGCTCTTGCCCTCTGCTCTTCCCCCCACCAGGCGTGCCACATACAAGTTGTGAGGGGCCTGGTGTGCGGGCACAGAGTCGTGACGTGGTTCGTGGTCTTGCATCGACTCACCAACTCAAGCTCTTGCCCTCTGCTCTTCCCCCCACCAGGCGTGCCACATACAAGTTGTGAGGGGCCTGGTGTGCGGGCACAGAGTCGTGACGTGGTTCGTGGTCTTGCATCGACTCACCAACTCAAGCTCTTGCCCTCTGCTCTTCCCCCCACCAGGCGTGCCACATACAAGTTGTGAGGGGCCTGGTGTGCGGGCACAGAGTCGTGACGTGGTTCGTGGTCTTGCATCGACTCACCAACTCAAGCTCTTGCCCTCTGCTCTTCCCCCCACCAGGCGTGCCACATACAAGTTGTGAGGGGCCTGGTGTGCGGGCACAGAGTCGTGACGTGGTTCGTGGTCTTGCATCGACTCACCAACTCAAGCTCTTGCCCTCTGCTCTTCCCCCCACCAGGCGTGCCACATACAAGTTGTGAGGGGCCTGGTGTGCGGGCACAGAGTCGTGACGTGGTTCGTGGTCTTGCATCGACTCACCAACTCAAGCTCTTGCCCTCTGCTCTTCCCCCCACCAGGCGTGCCACATACAAGTGCCGAGGGGCATGGTGTATGGCCGCATAGACGCGATGTGGTCCGTGGCGTCTCGGTTGGATGGCATGACAGTGACCCACACCCACACCTTCTGTGCCCCACTGTATTAACCCACCAGGCGTGCCACGTGCAGGTGACGAGGGGCACGGTGTACAGGCACATTGACATGATGTGGTCCGTGGCGTCGCGGATCGACGGCATGATGGTGGCTCACACGTATTGCCCTGCTCTTCCCCCCCACCAGGCGTGCCACGTGCAGGTGACCAGGGGCACGGTGTACGGGCGCATCGACGTGATGTGGTCTGTGGCGTCGCGGATCGACGGCATGACGGTGACGGGCGTGGGGGACTTCAAGCGCAGCCAGGGGCTCATCCGCGTGGCGTTCTGCGGCCACGGGCCCACGCTGCAGAAGAGCTATGTGGTGATCAGCAACAACGAGGTGTATGGTGAGTGTGCTGATGAGAATGCTTTTGAGGCAACTCGAAAGCCGGTGCATGGTGAGTGGGGGGGAGATGAGCAGGTGAGGGGATAGGCGAGGGCTCCATAGCGCACGGCTCATGGGCCAAGGCTGCAGAGGAGCCACGTGGTGATCAGCAATGATGAAGTGTACGGTGGGTGTACAAACATGCTTCTTAGCATGTCAGATTCCGAGATGTCTCTTTTTACATGCTTCTTCCTGTTCCAAACTTTAATCTTTGCAGATTTTGAGGGAATGACGTTGTGCAACAACTACGAGCAACAATGCGCTTTTGTGCATTTGTGCGTACCTCACAGCATATATTCCCTACCCTCCCACGCACCACCAGGCGGCCGCTTCCCAATTGTGCTGTATTTCGGCGCAGTGGGTGTGACGGTGCGCAACAATTACGTGCACGACTACATCTTTGCGGGCATCGTGTGCGGCGCGTTCGTGTCGTACCAGGGCGACTGCATGCTGAGCACCATCTCCAACAACCTCGTGGTGGCCACGGGGCGGAACATTAGTGGAGACATGGACGCCACTGGGATCTACTTCAACACACACTGGTTCAACCCAGGTGGGTGGCACGCATACGCACTGGTTCAACCCGGGTGGGTGGTACGCATATGCACTGGTTCAACCCGGGTGGGTGGTACGCATACGCACTGGTTCAACCCGGTTGGGTGGTACGCATACGCACTGGTTCAAAAGGTGATGTGTGCGCACGCATGTTTGGTTCGTGTCGCTGCTGCGCCTGGGATGAAGGAACATGAGTGGAGGGAACGTGAGTGGAGGGAACACGAGTGGAGGAACGTGAGTGGAGTGAGGACTCAGACAAGGACGCTTCAGGGTTTCACTTCGGCGGTCACTGGTTCAACCCCGGTGCCTGGTGGGTGGCACTCACACGCACTGTGCTGTGGTCCGTGGAACCATAGGCTCAGCACGGTCCCCGGCCCCGCGTCTCAGCGCAACCACGCGATCAACGGCGACCTCTAATCCACTGATCAATCCGTGCTGCTACTATTTACTTCGCTTTCTCTCATGTGACCCTCCCTGCTCTCGCTTTCTCTCGCTTTCTCTCTCTTTCTCTCTCCGCCTCCTCTTTCGCAGGCAACCTAGCGGAGTGCAACTACGTGATCAACGGCGACCAGTGCTACTACCTCGACTTTGCCTCCTCTGGCGTCACCGTCCGGGGTGGCGCGTGCATCAACACGTATGGCGGCATGAAGGTCAACAACGGCAAAAAGTGAGTTGCTGCTGGTTAGCTGCTGGTTCGAAGTCTAGGACACCAGAACATGTGAATGCGGTTACTCTAGCAGACCATAATCTGTTTGCTCCCTCTGTCCTCATCTTTCTCCTGCGTGCCCCTTTCCACAGCAACGTGACAGGGGACGTGATTGTGAAGGGCACGCAGTGGACGCGCTGGTTGGTTCCCGTACTTGTCAGTCGAGTTGACAGCATTCCTTCCCCCCGCCCCTCCCCCCCCCTCCCCCATCCCACCTCCCTACTCCCTCAGTAACGTGATTATAGAGGGCTCGTTGGGGTGGTGCGCGTGCTTTTGAGTCGGCTCAAGAGCTCTACCTCCTCCCTTCCTCCCCCCCCCCCGCACCAAATTCTGCAGCAACGTGATAGAGGACGTGATTGTAAAGGGCACGCTGTGGACGCCGGGGTGGTCCACATGCCTGACAGCGGAGGTGGTGAATTGCGGCAAGAAGCCCGGGTCGTACTGGGAGCTCATGCGGCAGAAGTACTACAGCACACTCGAGATCAACCAGGTGTGTGTGTGGGCGTGCTTGTGTGTGTGTGGGCGTGCGTGCGTGCGTGGGCGTGCGTGCATGCGTGTGGCACGACCTGACAAAACAAATGCGGGTGTTTGCATGCTCCATAGCATACAGGAAGGTAGGTGTGTAAGTTTGCATGGCACAGTGTTGTAAGCCGGGCCGTATCAGGAGCAGGTGCGACAGAAGTACTGCCAGCACGCCAGAGTTGAACGAGGTGCGTGCATAGTATTGAAAGAGGGCCCTGCCACACCAACTGCTCCATAGCGTGCTGGTTTCTGTACCTCATAGCGCCCTGCTCTTTTGCATATTCGTTCCCACACCATAGTATGTGTTATCCGCTCAACGCCCCACTTTATGCACTACACTCTGCTCTCTATACAACACCAGCACTCCCGTTCGTGTATACTATGCTGCTGCACACGCTTATTCGATGAAAATGGTGCCGCTTGACGGATCCATCTAGACATGGTTTCTATTACAGCTGCACATGGTTCTATTTTGGCATCTTCGTGCTTTCTGGTTTCTTACCCTTCTTCCCCTGCCTTCCTGCAGAACTGGCCGCGGATGGCGTCGGTGTGTGTGCCACATCCACCATCAAAGCTGTTTGACATTCGCTCTCTCTTTCCCCCACCCCCCTTCTCACTCTCCCCCCCCCCTTCCCCTCACCCCTGTCCCCCCCTTTTTCCTGCAGAAGTGGCCATGGATGGCGTCGGTGTGCGCCGAGTCCAGCGTCAACGGCACGCCGTGCAACACCAATGCCGCCGGCACCCTCAACGCGACGCAGACCGCCAAGTGCAGCGGGCTGCCCACGCGCAACTCGCTCAACCTCTTCCTCGTCGATGCACTCAACTTTGTCATGGACTTCAAATACTGCGAGAAGCTGCCCAACGCCGCCCGAGTCAACACACACCGCCACACAAATATTACGTCGATCAGCGCGGCGAAGTTTGTAAACTATGCGGAGGACGATTTGGGCGTGAAAAAGGGGTCGTCGATATTTAAAGTGCGGCCGGGTTTTAAGAGCTGCCCAAGGAGCGAGGTCGGGCCGAAAAGAGTGGCCGAGAGCTTTTACTATAGTGCGTTCAATAGGGTGATTCCGGATATTTATTACACTACACTAGGTATGGGGACTGAGCATATCCATGACCCCACCTTGCTAGTGAGCTGATCCATTCTTGAATAAAGGTTGCAGGCTTGCAGCAGCTAGTAGGGGATGGAAGCCAGGGAAGTAGACTCACAAAATGCCAAGAGCCTGCTGCATGCATTAATTAAAACCAGACCAGGTTTGAACTGGAGACCCATGAGGGAGGGGTACTCCAGGCTAGACGAGATGGACCTGAGACTTCTAATCATTCCTCGGCAATGACCCTCCACTATGCTTTCTGCAATTACTCCGATACAATACTAAACACCCATTGAGGCACTACCTTGAAGTGGAATACTCTGTTCCAGAATGTTAGAATACTATAACAAAATAGAAACAAGAGAGTACAGGGAAGTTATAGGGTTGGAGATGTACCCTTTAAGAACACAAGCCTAACTAGCCTATAACTTAAACATATAAATGTATGTATAAGTTGACACACCCCCTAGGCTAGATAAGGGGCAGTGCAGAGCAAGGAACACGAAACTCAGGGTGGCACTACTAGTCCAACCTCTGAGGCAGGGGTCCGAAGACCAGTCAGCAAGAGTACAAACAGGACAAGAGCAAACCAGGGCGGCACTACTAGTCCAGCCACTGGAAGAGAAGCCACAAGGCCAGTCTGGAAGGTATATATAAAGAGGAGTACACAGACAAGGTCCTATCAAGTGAGAGTCTACAGGAACTAGACCAAGCTGCAAACAGTGCCGCTGATGATCTTTAGGCGTAAGCGCCTTAGTAAAGATCAAGTGTACTACGCGGCTGTGTTGGCACCGGAGGCCAAGTGTACTACGCGGGCCTGGCGGCGCTGCTGTAGCTCGCACGTAAAGAAGTACCACAGCTGGATGTGCTTCGCTCTGCCCTCAAGTCAAGGCTCCTGACAAAGGAGGGTCATGGCTCTGTTGTCAGCATACAGAACCGGGGCAGAGGCGGCTCACAAAAGTTGGTGAGCAAGAAGGTCATCCAGCGGAGCTCCTGTGCCGCCATGGCACCAGCGTATATCTCAGCATCACAGCTAGACTGGGCAACAGACGAGGAGCTAGTGGACCTCCACGAGATGGCACCTGAACCAAGGCTAAATCAGTAGCCCTGGGAGGACCTGAGGGTCTCAGCGTCGTCTACCCAAGAAGCGTCTGTGTGTCCAGTAAGGACCATTGGCCTGCGCTCTCCCAGCACTAGACCCATGCCCGATGTACATGCTAGATAACCCAAAACCCTCTTAGTGGCCGACCAGTGCTGTGGTCGGTGTCTGCCTATGGCCACAAAGCGAGCAAGGATGCTGAGAGGGTATGCGAGATCTGGACGAGTGCAGGTCATCAGGTACATGAGGCAACCCACCAGCTCTGTCTAGGGACCACTAGGCTCTACAGCCTCCTCCGGGACTGGAGCAGAGAGTCTGTGGTCTACTGGCAGACGGGTGGGCTGTGCGGAAGAGAACTGAAGGCCGAACCTCTGAAGGACCTGGCGCACCAAGTGTGACTGTATAAGAGTGATGGTGCTCGCTACTCTGTCCCTGGAGATCTGCAAGCCAAGGTAGCGGCGCAGCTCGCCTAGGTCAGTGCAGGTGTGTCTCCTCAGCAGCTCAGCCTTCACGGAGGCCAGTGCGTCTCTGTCTGCAGTAGCAAAGACCAGGTCGTCTACGTAGACAAGGATGTAGAACGGAGCCTGGCCGGAACGGATGAAGAGCGAGGGGTCTGCAGACGACGGGAAGAACTGCAGCTGAGCAAGTGTAGCACGCAACGTGTCGTGCCACTCACTGGGCGCCTGTCGCAAGCCGTAGACGGGGCGCCAGAGGAGCCACTCGGTACCTGGGGAAAAGGTACCAGAGAAGCCATGGGGGCGGCGCAGGTAGACCTGCTCGTGTAGACTGCCCTGGAGGAAAGCTGTGGAAAATTCGAGGGAGTGCGGCTCGTAGTCACGCTGTGCTGCTACGTGTAGCAGCGCCCGAAGAGTAGTCATCTTCGGGGCCGGGGCGAAGGTCTGAAAGAAGTCCACACCCTCTCGCTGACTGAAGCCTCTAGCCACGTAGCGCGCCTTGAACACATGTGGCTCTCCAGGGGGGCGCTTCACCTTGACGAGCCACCGGCCATCGACTATGTTCACCCCAGGTGGGGGAACTACGTCGACGTAGGTGCTCGTGGATCTCCAATATGTCATCTCCTGCTCCATGGCAGCTATCCATTGAGAGGCCCAAGGTCCCGAGATCGCCTCAGCGTAAGTGCGAGGGGTCAGGATGTCAAAGGAGTCTGGGTCACCCTTAGGGACTAGCGACATGGAACAATGATGGGGAGCAGCCTCGGACACGAATGCAAGCTCGTACTGCCTGTCCTCTAGGACGTCACTGCCAAGAGCACAAGCACCCCTGACTAACGGAGGACGGACAGGGTCAGAGACCAGAGCGGTGGCGTAGTCAAGGCAGCGGGTAGAGGCGAAGTCTGCGACGGCAGTGACAAGAGCGTCAAGACTCGAGAGAGGGACAAACGGGTCGGTAACGAAAGGAGGAAAGTAGCCGAGGAACAAGAGGACGAGCGACACGAAGGTAATCAGACAAAGGGGGAGGCGCGACAGCGAGCGACGACGGAGGAGGCGAAGGCAGGAGGGGAGGAAGACATGGGTGAGAACAAAGCAACATACGGAGAGAATGCTGAATAGGAGAAACAGGACGAGCACGAGATGGACGGCGAGACCAGACGTGAGACGGAGGCATCGGGTCAGGAGACAGAGGAGGAGACACAAGAGGAGAACGAGGTGGAAGACGAGCCGGAGACGAGTACAGCGGAGGGAACGTAGGGCCATAGACAGGAAGAGGAGGAGGTGGCGAGGGAGGCGCAAGCGAGCGGTCAGGGGAGGGAAGGCCGAGCAGGCGAAGGGCGGACACTGGCGGCGACTGCTCCTGCTGCTGCTCGACGCCGACACCTGGACCACCAACTGCACTATGGCTACCTCTGGAACACTCCACTCCAGCACCCGCAGAACGAGCACCACCAGAGCGAGAACTCTCTCCAGCACCGGTGCCACCCCCAGGCCCGCCTGGACAAGCCACGATAGGAACCCAGGACTAGCACCCTCCTCAACGTCAGCACCACCAGTGTGAGAGTACGACCCCGTGACACCACTTGGCCTTTTCTTATTTCCTTCCTATTTCATTTCTCTTTTTATCTCATCTCATTTGGTTTCCTATTCTCCATTTTCCCTTAAGCCTTTGGTTTATCCTGCTATTATAATTATATCACCGACCAGGCTTGGGATGTACTGGTGCGCTCTATCTAGCGTAATCCTGCCGTAATCCCTTAAAGCCAATAGCCTCGCGTGGCTATACACAGGGTGATTCTATTTTCTAGAAGGGTCTATTCCCTTAGGATAAGATAAACCTGGTTACCTGATGTACTCTGGAAGTATGAAAATGCCTTGTACTGATCGATAGTGCAATCTTTCCTCGAGTCATTCGATCCTGTGACACTTGGTAATCAGAGCTTCTCTCACTCGGCCGCGCTCAGCTAAGCAGCAACAGCGGGGGATCCTGCCTCAAAAAACCGTCGGGGGCGACCAATTCGACGCCGATTCTGGTAAGCACCAGCTCCGCGATTTTCGAATTACCCCCTCCGTGCGTGTTTTGAACAGGATGGCAACCTTCGACAAAGCCGAGGTTACCCAACAGCTCTTCGCGCGCATCGCAGCCCTTCAGGAGGAGATGCGAGCGGATCGCGAAGCATGGAGAAACGAGTTCGAGCGAGTAACTCGACTCGCCGGAGCGCAACACGACTCGACAGCGGCGACGATGCAGCAATCGCAGCAGTTTCTCGAGGCTCCGAAACCGCGCCCACCTAAGCCGTTCGATCCGAGCGATCGAAACTCCGACGCCCGCAGATGGATCGCCGGGATGGAGATCTACTTCGCAGCCGTCGGATGGAGCTCGCCAGTCTGGGACGGACAACGCGTACGACTCGCAGCGACACTGATGCGAGGGCCGGCACTCGAGTGGATTGGCGGCAACAGTACCTTCATCCACGGTGAAGCCACGTGGCAGCAGTTCCGCGCCGACCTGCTGAAATGGTTCGAGTCGATAAATTCCAGTTTCCTTGCCCGGGAAAAAATTCATCGCCATCGACAGTTCGGGAGTGTAGCACAGTACACGCAGCAGATGGAGGAATTTTATAACCGAATTCCCGACCTGACAGAAGGGGAAAAAGTACAGTCGTACCTTGCCGGGCTGAAGACCGAAGTCAAACGACAAGTGGCAGCGTCAAACTACGCGAGCTACAGTGACGTCGTTTCGGCAGCGGAGCGCTTCGACATGGTCAACGCCGGGACACGACGGACGCACGTCGGCAGTACGCGACAGGGCGACCGCTCGGCTCACCCCACGTTCGCCGACCCGATGGAAGTCGACAGGTTCGAGGGGCGGCCACGTCCGAAAAACACCAACTACACGTGTGATTTTTGCGGGGTGCCGGGTCATCGAGTCTTCGACTGCAACAAAATGAAAGCCGCACGCGCAGAATATCGGGCACGCAATAGTGGCGGAATTCCTTCGGCCAATCAGAAGCCAAAAAACGGGAGTCGCCAGTGATTGCTGATCTAGCTGGCAAAAATAAAAAGATCCGGAAGCGGCCGCGGGATTCCAGGAAAATCAACTTCGACGAAGCTGATTCGAGGCGAGAAGGAGGAAATGATGAGGGAAAATCTCCACCCCACGACCAGTCTTCGCCAGGGAAAATCGCCGAGGAAAATTACGACTTCGCGAAAAAAGACTTGAAGACCCAAGAAATTATAAGGATTCGTTAAAGTTATCTTATAAAGATGCTTTAATGAAAACTTATGATTTTCGAGGGGCTAGAGCCTTGGAGAAATTTCGGGAGGGACTCTAAAAGAAGCAGTCAGCTGTGGAGATTATACCGGTACCGGACAACTTGGGGAAAAAATTAAGGAGTGTGGAAAGGAGCCGACCTTTCCACGGAGTCAACGTCCTCTCCCGACACCAGCCCACAACGACTACCCGTTCCCCAGGGAAGACGTCGGTGGAGCTGAAGCAGCTCAAGAGGAAGCTGGGGGTCTATAAGAAGCTGCACAAACCCCGAACTCCTCCTCCGGATGCATCCAGTTCTTCGGCATCAATGATGCGCACAGTCGTCAAAGAAACTCCGGG